ACTTCCATGAGCAGCGCAAGTCCACGGATCTGTCGCTGGGCGAGTGGCACAAGAATGAGGAGGGCCAGAATGTGCGTGTGGTCAATGTGACTGTGCAGCTGGCCGCTTCCGTGGGCCCAAAGACCTCAAAGGTGGGCATGAGATAGCTTTAATGAGACTGAATCATCCTTATAGACTTGACTGTAGATTTTATTATGTCAAGCTATGGTTATTCCGTAGCAACAAAAAACTAACTCAAATTTACTTGCAGGTCACGGAATATCAAACGATGCGCGAGTGCAGCAAGCCGGGTGAGCTCTATTCGATTGACGTGAACAGCGTGAATGCGGGCATACCCTATGCGGATAGTTTCAGTGTATTGATACACTTTTGTCTGGCGCGGTAAGCCCTGGGGATCAGATCTATATATATCTGTAATTAACACCCAAAAACTCTTTTTAGCACTGTGGACGATCATACGATGTTGTCGGTGCACGCACAGATCAAATATAAGAAATCCATTTGGGGCATGGTCAAGGGTTTCATTGAGAAGAATACGTGGGCGGGTCTGGAGGACTTCTTTGGGGCGCAGCTGCATGCGCTGCAGAGCGAGACGTGCATACCGCCTGCCAAGGGCAAGGGACGGCGACCCAGACGTGGTGAGTATTTCGAAATTAGGCATAAGCAACAACAACAACAACAACATGAATAGTAGCAACAACAATAGCAACAAACAACACACAATGCAATAACACATAAATCATATACGAATACAAGAACAAATACAAATACACTGTCAATGTCCAAATGCCATTGCTATTGCTTCTTCTAACCACACGAAATGCACGCACAACAACAACAACCAACAACTACAACAACAACTAGAACAATTAGCTGCAAACTAGCTACAACAACAACAACAACACACAGGCATATTGGTTACAGCAACAGCAACAACAACAACAACAACAACTGCTAGCAGCACGGACTATGACAAGCAACAGCAACATCTGCAACATCATCACCATCATCCCCATCATCAACACCCTCATCACCATCATCATCATCACCATCATCGTCACCATCATCATCACCATCCACATCACCATCCACATCATCATCATCCACATCACCATCTGCAGCATCAGCAACAGTTGCCGGCGTCGCCTCAACAACATTTGCAAATCCATCCGCAGCAACAAATTCATCGTAAGGCCAAATTGCTCTCATGCTCAGGTATATAGCGTATCTCAGACGCTAAGCAACCCCTTCTAAGCACAAGCGATTGTCACTAGGCACATGCTAGGATATCGAAATATATGTACATATATATTTATTATATGTAGAATAAGTTTTCGAATGAATGTAAGATGTAAAATATATCTAAGGGGATTCATAACTTTGGGATATCTTTGGCAGTTTGCAGAGCTTTGATAGGATGTAAATATCAATTATATATTAATGTCTAAATTGTATAGAACTTTGATAAAATATGACGTTCAATTTAGAAATTATCCATATAGAACAAAGAAACATTTCTGCTGTGAAGCTTTCCAGCTGACCTCGAATGTATAAGAAAATTGCCCTTAGTGCCCTTATAGAGATATATGTAAGTCCAAATATTTTGTTTATGAAACTTTTTGTATCATAATTCTTACAAAATATCCCAAACATTTTTACCCATTATATTCACAGAACTTTCGATAGTCGATGGTTTTTACATTCTCGTTATCTCCGTTTCCTCCTGTAACTCTCTTAAAAAAATGCTTTTAAATATTATATCTATGAACACAATTGTGATGAATGATAAGTGATATATTATAGTGCAATATCATATTTGAGGAACACTTGGATGCATGAGCATACGATTCACACATTAAATGCTTTACATAAACGTGAAAGGAATTTAGAAACAGGAACATGGTTGTTGCTTCCATTTAGCAGCTCTAGTATAATAACCGTAATGTTTGAACTAACCTGTGCCAATCGCTTGGCGCAGAATTTTGCTTGTTGCTGTGTTTTTGTTTCATTTCGATGTTTTATTAGCGTAATTATTTAGCTGTGTGCGTAAACAATTTGCATGTATTTAACACCCAAGTTTTGTTGCATTCGATTGTTGTGTTTCTGTTGCTGTAGTTGCTTAAACACCTGTTGACACCTGTTCGCAGCTATCTCTAATTAACGTTTATCCACATGTTTGCTGCCTAGGCACCTCGACACAGTCAAGGGGCGTGACGGAGGAGTCGAACAGCGGAGGCGCCTCACAGGGCTGCCTGCCCGACTCGATGGACAACTGGGACTCGAAGCTGCAAAGTGGCGCAGCTGGCGGCCTGGCGCATGGAGCCGCTGGTGGCAGTGGCGGCGCCAGCGGCAAGCAGCAGCAATTGACCGCCCAGCAATTGTTGCAGCAACAGCAGCAGCAGCAGTTGCTGGCTGGCGGCCTGCAAGTGGGCCGAGACAGGTTCCGGCACCGCGGCCTCTCGCTGTTTGTCATATTGTTAATGTGCTTGCTGCTGGCATTAAATGTGATATTATTACTTAAGCTCTGGAAGCTGGAGGAACACATTGACCTCGATCTCAGCCGGCGGGCGCGCATGCCCACCTTGGCGGCACTCAAGTACATATATACAACAACTTACATCTATCTAAAACCGAAACAATCAATAAATTTTTACTTCCAGGGAGTTGCCGAGCTCAAACCAAGATTGGCTGGAACTTATGCGACAGCAGGAGCTATCGCACGAATCGGAGCTACGCAAATGGCATCAAGTGCTTCAAACGGCCATCGAGCTGCTGAAAAAGGTGAGCATCGTTTGCGAAAAGATGTACAACGATGTGGAGCTGCGTCAGAGCATTGAGTCTTTGCATACGGATTTATAAGCCAGACGACATTGAACCCGAATCAAATGCAATTCATATTCATCAAATGAAACCGTATTCAGCCAGCAAGAGCGAAGATCGTTACATATTCCATAGTTTTTAGATTTGATATTTATACGAAATACGAACCCGAAAACCGAAAGCTTGCCTTAAGGCTTTATAGTTATCTCAACTTCAGAGTAGATAAACCTTAGCTCAGTATATTTTTGATTTCGTAAAGCCCACGTCAAACCAGTTTTATAAAACGTATTCAAAATCATGAAAGTTGAGATTATAGTTTTTAAATATTTTAGCTAAGATTGGGCCTTAAATTAGTAAAAAATTTTAAAGTTCTATCATTTTTTATTATATTTTGAAATATTTATATATAAAAAAATATATTATTAGTCTAAATTAATTATTTTAATTTAATTTATAATTTATCGAATTCTTTTTCTAATTTCTTTTTTTTATGTTCATTTCAGACTGAAAAGACTTTGGCTGAAGTCATGATACCCTAGCAGTCCTTTCAGCACAACACAAAACTCCACTCACAAATCCCGCAACCCCATAGAAATTAAAGTTAAAGCAGAGTAATTGATCTAGCTGAAACATTCGCTTAGTTCCTTTTGGTACTGAAAGAGCTAAGAAGAAGCGCAAGGCCACCAAATAATTGAAATTGAATTTCAAAAACTTTAGTCACAAAAAATATTAAGAGAAAGAGAGGGCTATAGAGAAATATTTGTGTTATTGTGTTAAGCGTTTTAGTTTCGTCCCTCAGTTAGGCTCTATATAGATGTATATATAAATATATGTGTGTATTTAATAATTAATGAATTTACAGTTTATTTCTAGTTATACATTTAGTTGAAAGCCTAAATTCGTTTTTAGTCGGCTGCATTTATGTTTATATCAATGTTGGGCAAATGCTTCAAAACAAAAACCAATTAAAAGTATTTCAATACAAAATACACACACACACACACATTGACATACATACTCACATGCATACCAGCAACAAGAAGATTAATGAGAAACGACAACTAAAAGCGCCTTGAATTTTTGTTTTAAAAAGTTCATTTCCACGTCTGATAAGCGCAAAGTAAATCGAAATTATTTTGTAATTTTGATAATGAAAACTATACAAGATTAAAAAAACAGAAAATACAATATTATATTTAACTCAACAAAAACCAATATTTCTGTACAATATTTTTGTAAGAACCGCAAACTTTTTTACAATCTATAAAAATGTATCTTCGATTTGGTTTTTCATGATTTTTGGAACACCTCTTAACCCGTTGTTTTAACAGTCGAAAGATAAAATGTTAAGCATCGTTGATGGCTTACCTATATGAGATATATGTATGAATATATAAACACGATTACTAAACATAGACCCAAGTATTCTTAGTTTGTAGCTGTTGCATTTTAATGTCGAATTGTATGTGAAAATGTTAAAGAAAATAAGTCTAGCCGATGCATGTTGTTGGCGAGAGTACTACTTATAAGGTATATAACAATCCCAACATATGTGAAAAGCAAAAACCAAGCTTAAAATTATTTAAATGCTAATTGGTTATAAAAGAAAAACTAAAACTAAAACAAAGAAGAAAATGTTAAGCTGCTAAATGAAATTTTAATTTATTATAAAATAGAAAATAAAATAAAAAATTATTATGTAAAAAAATAATAGTGGTTTCTTATTAAAATATTTTACACTCCCATGTTTTATTTCAGCTTGTCTCCGAAGCGATAATTCACGAAGTTATAGCCCATCAGACTCTACATTTGCTTTCATAGATCGGTAGATCATGTTATTATGATGGGCTCGTTCTGGATATAAGCTATAGAATGATATTTTGATATTTGATATTTTTAGTGTTATTGATGGATACAAATATTATGCCCTGCATTTTGATCAGTCATAAGTGTCCAAGAAGAACTACTCTACGCCCTGTATAAATCAGTTGACAAGGATCGACAGAATTTACGCATTTTTTAGTTTAGATAACCTCTCATTTGAACGACAACTATACTTTCAGGATAGATCAGGAATGCGAGATATCAATTCATTTGCATTGAATTGCAAAGTCTCATCATTCACAGTTTGACAGCCACTGCGCCACACATATCGATTCCATGAATAAAACACAACAGTCTTACTTCCGATACGATTTAATTTAAATTTGTATGGCTTTCTTTTTCCGTTTGAAAGATTAAAGACAAAAGGATTTTGCAGCGCCTGTCCACATGTTAACCAACAGACTCTGCAGTTTGACGAGCGCTGCAAGTGAAAAACCCATTGATTGGCAAATGGAAGCGCGCTCCAAAATGCAACAAAACAAGAAAACTCGTTAACACGGTTGGGCTGACGGCAACACTTGCAATTTGAAGATTGAATACGTAAATACATATAGCTATATATATATCTACATAGTATCGTATATATATATAGTATATAACGCCTAGAGACGTTATATGTATAGTATAACGCCTAGAGGCGACATCGGACGGCATTGTCAGCGCTTTGATCCTTTGCCGTCACTGAAAACTTGGAGAGACGAGACCGTAGACGAACCTTCTGTCGCTCCGAATCCGGATTCTTGGGTCGACGTTGCTGCGGCGGCGGTGTCTGCTGCTGCTGCTGCTTCAGTTCATTGTTGATCTTAGACTTATCTCGCTTGCTCTGGGACTTGAGTTGCCGATTGGTATTGCGCGGAGAGAGCACAGCCCTAGTGCGACGATTACTGGACTCGCTGCCGTGCGACGACTTCAAGGCTTTGCCGGTCTTCGAACGCTTCTTGTTCAATGCAGTCGACGGCTTAGCTGGAGCTGCTGTGGCCGTAGCCATGGCTGCTGCAGCCGGCGTCTGCTTGCCACTCATCTTGGCCACCAGCTGATTGAGCACCTCCTTTTTGAGCGGCGGCTGCAGCAGAACACCCGACTGCTTCTTGGTCAGGTGGGTGGCAGTTACCACATTCGTGGACATCTTGCCGCCAGTGAAGCTGTCCCCGGCAAAGCGCGGACGAGCCAGCCGCGGCCTGGGCTTCTTGTCTGCACTCAATTGGACCCCTGTCTGGGGCTGCGGTAGAGCTGCGTAGGGGTTACGTAGATCGCGACTGGCTTGGCGATTGGGCGGAGCGTCCTTCTGCTGCTGCTGGTCATCCCGGCGCTGCTGTCGGTAGCGCTTCATCAGCATATCGTAGATGGACACAATCGGCTCTTCCATCCTCATCTGGACAACGCGTGAGAAATTCGTGCAAGAAAAATGAGAAAGGAACAGTCTAACAGTCTACGCGCTTCCTGGCTTATTTTCTAACGAGATGTAATTACGGACTGGATAAACTAATACGGACACGCACATAATGCTCGAACGGCTACAGCAGAGCTTGCTAGATTTTTGACAAGGCACCGAAATGAGTACTTCAATCCCTTGAACTCGACTAGAACATATGACGTGTGATAAAAAGTAAACTAACAAACGCAAAACTAGAAAAAAGATTAAAATAACAAAAAATTGTATTAATAATTTATAAATCTTATGTAGATCTATACAATTTTTAAAGTTTCTTTGCAGTTTCCACAAAGTACACAGAATTATTTATCTACTGTAAAGAATAGAAGTAGATGATTCTTAGGAAAACTATAATTCAGTATAAGAATTAGCATAAACTGTTTAAGTCAAATACATTCATACATATAAATTAGCATGTTTTCACTTCCGGTTGAAAGAAATTGTAGCATACTTTGAGGCTATGCCAGAAAATATTTAAATTAATGGTAACAACCCAATTAAAACTCATTAAATACATTACTATTGGTTTATTAATAATGCTTATTTACTTACTTATAAAATATTACGAAAAATGTAAACCTATTGAATTAATTGCTTAAAAGAGTGTAAGCTAGGTTTTAATAGAAATCAGAAATAATTGTATGAAATGAAAAACATTAAATATATATAACAATATGTTTGTTTCAAGTAAAGTAAAACAACATAATAATCTAAACAATAAATAAAAATTGTATATCAAATTGATATTTAAATATACATATAATGAAATATATAACGTCAATTTGTCAGTAGGTAATATCGGTATTTGCACAGTTTTCATTTTCCTGAAGTGCTGATCCCGTATCGTTGAAGTTGTTGACCCCAAAATCTAAAGCAATATATAGGTTAAGTTCAAGGTCCCACGGCACAATCTCGCCAGCTCTTTGTATTATGGTAAAGAAGAGGGTAAACCGAACAATATATAGTATCATTCGTGAATCACACCTTAACTGTACATTACAGCTGGTGCAATATATAAGAAAAAAAAAAATTAAATAAAGAGAAATTGCGACCGATAAGAGTTCGTTAAACGCTAATAATAATACAAAATAAATACGCAGATTGCTGACAAAAAAAATAAAAATAATAACAATAATAATAAGAAAGTTACTTGAGGTAAAATTCTGAAAATATACATATGCAAAATTTACTAAGGCGAGACAATTTTGCAAGATATAACGCATAATAAAACTATAGAAAAAATTCGGCAAAGTGCGCAAATAAATAACAAATAAATGTGCGTGACTGTGTGTGTGTGCGCGCGGGCAATGAACGTACCAAAAAAAGAAAAAGAAAGAAAGAAAAGAAAGCAAAAACAAAAATGTTATCAGCGCAGCCGAAAAGAGCTGTACAGCAAATACACACACACACACACACATGTAAAAGTACGCATGCACACTGAAACACACACACACATACGCATACGCACAGGCGAACGCCAAGCTGCGTGCGTTCAGTTTTCAAGGTTAAGAGCAAGTGCGTATGCATGAGTATGTAAGCGAGTGTGCGTGTCTCGCTGCCAGCGACACTCATAGAAGAGAGGCAGCAACGAAAGAAGAAGAAGAGGAAGAATAGCAACGGACAACGGAAAACAGCAACAACGACTCTAGTCGCACGCACAAATGGCCGCGCGCACATAATTAGAACGAAAATAAGAGAATAAAAAAACACAATGGGTGTGTGTGTGCGTGTGTGTACAGCAATTGTTTATGGCACATGCCATAAAATAAAATAGCGCACTTTTTGTGCTCGATATGCGCACATACCTATATATCAAATAGAAGAATCATCATGATTAAAGCGGATCTGTGTTAGGCCTATTAGCTTTATCTGCCTGCTGGCCACATGTGGCACGCCATATTTTTTTTTTTTTGTTTTTTAAGATATTTTTTCACGCACCGAAAGCTGAAGAACAGCTGACACATTTTATAGGCGTCTTGTTTTTTTGGTTTAGCTTCCTGATATAGCGGCTCACACTCACACACATACACGCACGCACGCAGGCATTGCGTATACGCTGCGCTCTCTTTCACTGTTGCTGTTGCTGTTGCTGTTGCTGTTGCTCTCTATTGTCAAGTTTAATGACTGATAAGCTTTAACAGCCGCCATATGAGCTCAAAGCTGAAAGACACACGCACAAATATTTGTGGCCTATTGGCAAACTGTATTTGTCTTTGTTTAATAAAAAATATATGTATGAACATATTTATTTTATTCAAATGCTGAACAACTTCTTGAGTTTGGCAACGCCTGCCGGAAATGTTATAATTCTTTAACAAATCAAAACGTAACCAAACTTAGAAACGTGTCAGGCAGCAAGCTACAGCTTACACTGAAGAAAAAAATAAATTAATATGTAAATAAACAACATATGCAACGATAATTATAAATTTGATTTCTAATAACTTGTTTATAACATTTTACCAACATAGTTTGAACGTGTAGACATCAATCCCATCATAGCTTCCACACAGCAATATCACACTTAAAACGCTTTTCGCTCAGTGCTGTCGTCTTAAGCATAATTTCTATCACCAAGTCAACTTTTTTGACTAGACACTTAAGTTGCTTATGTTTTATTTTTCATTTTTGTGTTCTGGGTTAAGCCTCATAAAAGCTTTTGTTGCTTTAATCGGTTAAGAGTTTACGACTTGGCTACACGACTACGCTATCAATGACTGATTACAGAGCGCGTTTAACAGCGGGCCCATTACATTACATTGTATGCGGCTAAAGAGCGTAACTCTTAAGCCGGTTGTAAGCTTACATCAAAGAGAGAGTGTGAGCTACACACGCACGTGCAATTGGCTGACGGCGCAGCAGCAGCAGCACACGCTGCTTTGGAACCGCAAGCGAGAGAGAGAGAGAGAGAGAGAGAACGGCACTGTTAAAATTGTCATTCATGCACGGGCGCGCGCGCTCTCGCTGACGCTGACTGCGACGCTTCATAGCAGCAGCAGCAGCAACAGCAACAGCAGCCGACGCAGTCGGAACAACGTTTAACGGTGATCAGTATGAGATCGAAATCGGCCGCAGTTGGTTGTACGTAATGCGCGTCGCGTTGCTTGTTGTCGTTGTCGTTGTCGTAGTCGCCGTTCAGCTTTCAATTCCAATTCAGTTAGTCGATCGCCGTCGCCGCCGCCGCAGTAGCAGCAGCAGCAGTAACAACAATATGCACTACTAAATATCAGCAACAAAAATAAAGTTCTTTTTACATATTTTCGTTGCGTTTCATCTCCTTTTCGGTTTCGCGTGTTCTCTGTGTGTGTGTTCCAGTGCTTTGTTGCCAAGAGTGTTTTTTTCCTGCCCAAAATGATTCCAAATCAAACAAATGCAACAAGTAAATAAAAAAGAAGTGAGATAAAAAAAGTCCTCTCGCAACGTGCTTGCTGTGTATGCGCGCGCGTGTTTTGTGTTTATATATGCATTCTATATAAGTATGTCTGTGTGTTTGTGAAGCGCAGCTGATTTTTAAATACGAAATTTTTAATAACGCTCAACTCGTCGTCTCCCTGTCGTTTCCCCACATCTGCCCCGCCCCCTGCATAACAACTTGCCTGCAATTCTACAACGTACGAGATTTGCCGTCAATTCGCCTCGCCGCTTCGCCGTTTTTTTTTTTGGGTGCGTGTTGCTGTTGTTGTTTTTCTGTGTTCTGTTCTCGCTTGTTGTTTTTGCTATGTTTACATTTTATTTCACACTCACACACACACGCACACACATGCACACACCTACACTTAGAATGTAAACTGACATTTCGCTCTGGCGCTTTGTTTCGCGCGGGCTTATTGACAAATTGTAACTAAAGTAAAGACCGAGACGCCACCGCTGCATCTCTGCACTCTCGCTCTCTCTCTCTCTCTCCTTCTCTCTGTCTATCTCGCTCATTTATTGGCGAAGGCTCTCTTAGACAACAATTTCATTTCATTTATTAGGTTTGAATTTCTGCGATTCTCGCCCAAAAGTTATTTTGTCTGATTATTTTGCGAGTGCTAAAAATAAATATATCAACAATTGTGAACAAAGAACAAACAACAAATATTATTGAACGCAATTTTATAGACATTTCTTTCACATATACATTCACTTACTTTTATAAAATTTTGTTAGTCTCAAGTCGCAAGTGCAAGCATAAAAGAAAGAGTGCGAAAATTAATAAGAAAACAAACAAGAAGACTAACTAAATAAATGTAAATAAAAAGACCTACGGATTTTTTGTTTTAAAGTTTTCACACTTATAAATTGAATAATAAAGATTTTAATATATCATAATAATCATTATAATAATACAAATAAATAATAATAAATAACTATACAGTGAAATCTTAATATCAAAACTGATTCTTTTAGTTTGTGTACAATTTGAATTTTGAAATTAGCAATAATAAAACAAAAACCTAAATAAATAATACTCCAATTAATATAGCAAAAGGAAAATAAATAATATCATTGTTTATAGTCTTTTTTTTTAAAGCAAAGTGACGAAATATATTTCAATATCTTTAAAAATACGTCAATTATTCGAAAACTTAAAATTTAATATTAATAATCAGCAAAAAATAAATAAATTAATGATTTTAAAAAGTTTTAAAATACACATATTTTTAAACTTTAAACAACAAAAATTTGCTTCTTCATTATACATTTCTTATAAAAATACTTAGAGCTTCACAAATTGCTTTTTTAATCAACTAAAAGCCTCATTTTAATTTTTATCAATTTATTATAATCTTTTTTCTTTCCCTCATCTTTTTGCAGCACGCAAATTATGAAATGAATACAACAAAAATTATTGAATAATCCGGCGAAATATGTTGGAAGCGGCGTAAAACTTGTTTTCGAAACAGTTTTACATTTACTAAATATATAAGGAGTAAAAAACCAACTGAAGTTTAAATCGTAATCAAAGAAACGGCAACAACAAAATCAGCAACAGCAATAACAATAACAGTAACAACAACAACAACAACAACAACAACAACATCACAAAAAGGTGATAATGATTATTTCCAAGGATCTTTTCATATTTGGCGAACAAATTTTTGCAACAATTATACCAGAAGGTGGAGTCGCTCTTGCCACGCAGCAGCAGCAGCAGCAGCAGCAACAGCAACAACAACTACAACAGGAGCAGGAGCAAGAGCAGCAGCCGGCAAATATAAATACAACAACAGCAGCAGCTGAACAAGTTGTTGAGGAGTCATTAAAAGCGGCAGCAGCAACATTGCCAGCAGCAGCAGCAGCAACAACAGCAACAACAACTATAACAGCAACAGCCAAACAGCAACAACAACAACAACAACAACTTCCAGCAGCAACAACATCGCTGTTGCTATTGAACAAACCGGAAACAGTTGCAGTTGCTGCTGCCGCTGCCGCTGCCAACAGCAACAACAACAGCAATAATAATAACAACAACAATAGTCTGATGCGCGGCAACAACAAAATAAAAATTCAAAAAATTCCAACAGCAGCTGAAGCATTGAAAGCCAAGCAGAAGCCACCAACAGCAACAGCAGCAGCAACAACACCAACTCGATCGTTAACCAAGTGTGAGAAGGTGTTGCTGCCAATGAATTTGTTGGCCCAAAGCATGGACAACGCAACGGATGAAATGGAGCAGTTACCGTTGGTAGCCAGTCGACGCAATTTGGCCAAAATTGTGGCCGATTGTCGCCTGCAAATCGAACCAACTGTTGCAGCAGCAGCACCAATAACAGCAACAGCAGCAGCAACAGCATCGACAGCAGCAGCAGCAACAACAACAACGTCAGCAACGGTTGCAGTTGCAGCTAGCAGCAATTGCAACAGCACATCCTCTGCCTCCTCAACCAGCTCCTCATCGACAACCTCAACGGATTTGCCCAGCACGGATAATCTGGCCAAGACTTGCATTTTAGCTGATGCCAAAAGGTAAGTTGACCCAATTTTCGATTTAGGTAAATCCATATACTAGCTAGAAGGAGATGGCAATGCCAGAGAAAGAGACGGCGACAGTTAGAAGCTGAGGTTCTGGCCAAAATGTAAACAGGCCATGAAATTGCAGTCGGCGTTTAATTTCACCTACAAAATTTGGGACACACGCACACACAGGCATACACACACACAAACACACAGATACATACACACAGACACACATATCACAGCAACTGCTTAAGAATAACAGCAAAACTGCATAAAAAAAGAAGAAGAAAAATGGAAAAAATATAAAAAATAAAAAATATAAAACGAAAAAGCAAAACAAGTCAGAACATTTGCGATTGGGCGTGGACGACTGCGCTATACTCTGATTTTATATCAAATATAGACTTTGATGAAATAATGTAAAATTGAAAAACTGAAGAATATCATGTACTATAACTATATATACAATAATCCACAGAATTTTCTAAGTAAATACATATCTAAGACTAAGTCAAGCTTGAGGATCACATTATTTTAAGCTTAAGTAATTGTCGAAAGATCTGTACACCTGATCTTTCATATATAAGTCCCCATAAAGTACTCGCACTTAAATCATTCAAGGTATGTCCTAGTCAGGCACTGCCGACTAGTCTAAATCCAACACTCAGGCAGCCCTAAGTTCATAGTAAGAAATGGTATGCATTCCTATATACTCCTTCTGCTTCAGCTGGCAGTGTATTAAAAGTGAGGCTAAGAATTTCTGCGTAAGGAGCAGGTTTCTTCGTTAAACTGCGACGGCGACTGCGACGAGTGCGTTTTGTCGCCGCTGGGGGGATTATATCTGTGCAGATATAACGTATATATGCTTATGTATGTATACATTAAACTGTATAGTATATACACTTATGGCAGTGACTGTGTCTGAGCTTTATATAATTTAGCTAGCAGCAGCTGCATCATAAAGGCCATAAAGGTCTTTGGGCTGCAAAAGCGAATAAAGCCGATGCGAAATTCTTCTAGGAAAGCGAATTTTATATACGCATTTAAAGTTTAGGAACAACGTTGAAGAGCTCTCCCTTATTCCACTTGTTCTGTTCTGTTCTGCATTCATAAACAGTTTACTGGCTTCAGTTGATGCAATGCATTTCAAATGATTTTCATATACATATACATCTTGTATGTTCCATTAGTAGAGCTCTGGCCATATACAGTTAGATTATACCTTATATATTCGCCAAATGGTTCTGTCAATTCCCAATGTTCTATTGCTAAGGTTAATGTGCTAGCATGAGACTTTTATTACAATAGTTTTCTATTTATGTGCTGTATTCAGCCTCGTTTTTAAGTCCTTGGATATTTCAAGATCTCTAATCGTTTGTTGTTCTTATATATGAATGTATATGTAGAATTTCTCAAAATCAAGCCACACTGGGGCGCACTCTTCGCTCAGCTTGTTCTTGTGGTCGTGCCTCCCTTTTTGCCCGAGCTCCCCTTGCGGAGTGTGCAACTGCTCCAGATAACTTTCAACATCTTGTTGCAGTTTTTGGTGCCAATCTGAAGTTTTGTTTTCTTCTTATTTTTTTGGAGCCAGCTGCTAAGCGAGCATCAGATCCATTCTTTCCCGCTCTCTCTCGCTTCGTCTCCTCTCTCTCTCTCTCTTACTTGCCCAACTAGCGAAAAAAAAAAACTGGGTCAACCAATTTTCTGGCAAAATTGCGACAACAGATGTACGAGATTTCCAAAAAAATAAAACCAGAGTAAAAGAAACTGCAAAAGATACAAAAGAAGCAGAAGAAGAAGAAAAAGAGACTCAACTTCAAATAAAATCGCATTCAACAGTGCGCCACAAAAGTGCATGTACTCAAGTGCACTTTAAATCGCATAATAATTGAAAATATTTATGTTAAATGCACATAATGAAGTTGCACTCAGCACACACACATACACAGACACATACAGACACACACAGTGCATTGTTGTGGCTCATAGTAATTGAATTTAATTTAATTCCTGCAAGTAAATTGCAGCCAATCCACTTCTTGTGAGCTTAAATTAAAAAGATATATATGCATACTATATACATTAAAATAAGAATAAAAAAAAATAAAATTAAATAAGTCAAGAAAATAAGCAAGTTGGGCATGCTGAACTGAGAAATAGTCTTAAATCCAACTGGAAATGCTCGACTAGAAGATATCTGCAATTCACAATCATTCTAAACTTCCTTTGCAAATTTAAAGTCTCTAGGTTTCGTGGCATTCAAGTTAAGTTAAAGAATCAAAGGCAAAATATCGATTTTTATCGATCACAAAGAGAGTTATCATTATCCTCATATATGGATACTCATTTCGTGGTATTCATCAGGAATGTAGTTATATACTCGACAGAGCAAACGATATACAGACATCTTTCATCTTCGTTACCTTTGACATTTATAAACAATCGACCCTACCATCCTTGCTTTTCAATGGGTATCAAAACCTTAACGCGGTCGCCTAATTGTGCGACTGCAATTCAAATTAACCGAAAAAATATGCACTTGAATCCATGCTGAAGCCATTTATGAGTCGCTGTTTATACGAGTGTGTATGTGTGTGTGTGTGTGGGTAAATGTGGTAATAGACGTCAGTCAGTCAGTCAGACCGTCGGCCCGTCAGCCAGTTGGGCAGTTAGATTGTCAGTCAGCTGCCTCGGGGCTGCCAAGTGACAACGAATTAAAGAAGTAATTTTAGCTGCAATTGCAACAGCTTCGACAAAAAATAGAAAAAAATACACAAATAGCAATGATTACACTGAGCGAAAAAAGTGTGCAAGTGTTAATGGAACAAATGTGACTGCGATTTGCTATGGCAGCAAACTTTTATTCAAGTTATTGTTAACAATCTTAAATAGACCAATAGATTACATTTATTTGTGCTTAAGGTTTTAAAAAATATATTTATATTTTTGTAATTTCACTTGAAATTATTTTAGAAGAATATTTATTAGACTGCAAAGGAAACTTTAGGCTCAATTTTTAGTTCTTCTTCGACTTCAGCTTTATATATGTTGTAGAAAGCTTTAATCTGCTTTTGATTTATATTTATTTTATTTTTAACAAATTTTCAAAATTCAAAAACTAATGATTAAATTCAAAGCAGAAAATTTCAGTAGTTGTAAATCTATAAAAATCTTTCATTATGCAACTCTCAAGTGCTGAAGCTTACATAAAGCGAGACTTTACTGTAGTCTACATAAATATATATTTTATTAGTTTATTCGACGGAAACGAACTGGAAAAGTTGAATATTTCTCAAGTTTGAATTTCTTTATTATACCAATCAATCAAATGAATAGTAAAACCAGTTCATTTTATTTTATTGCTCTTGTGCTGGTTTTCTTGAACTAGTTCACTCGACTTTCAAAACACTTTTGGCTGCTCGTCTTTGGATATTCTTGGCTGTAGAGCTATGAATTTTAAGTTAATTTGAATATATTCAAAGAAAAAGTAAACTGAAAAGGAAATAAAATGAAATAAAACTACAAATAAAATATAATTATTATTATTTTTTTATAAATTAATTTCAATTAAAAATAGTTTAGTTAGTACTTTTAAAACTTGTCGAAAAATGCATCAAACTCATCTGGCTGAGCATCAAATTAAATAAAATCTTATTTCAAAGCGCTTTACACACATACGCCCACAAATTTGTTTATAGATCTTTGGATACAAAAACAGAGAGCCGAAAATGTTTTTTTTTTTTTCTATGGCGATGCGATTTGTGCGTTTGAGTCGATTTGATTTCCATTTCCATCGATTTGGAATTCGAGCGGTTAATGTGCGATTAGAGTTTGTTGAACTCAAAGCAAATGGGAAGAATATGTATGTGGAATCTAAAGAAGGGGCAGACGAAGCAGAGGCAAACGCATTCTTGCCACAGACAAACAAAACGCAAAACACAAACATTTCCATTTTGTGCTGCTCTCTGTTTTTATTCCACTTTATTTATTTATTTTTGTTTCATATCAAGGCACACAGCCACGCCCACATACATACACACACGCACACACTTATAGCTTATATGTAATGGAACGTCAGCGATCTGAAGTCGAAGTCAGCTATCTGATCGAATAGGATCGACTCCCTCACTCCTTAATGGCGCAGCGCATATGCCCAACTGGGCTGATGGCGCATAGTCGATGCGAAGGCCCGACTGGATTTGAATGTATAAATACTTATACATATGGTTGTATTTTGTTTGCCTTTATTGATACAACTTTGATATCAATTAATAACACTTTGGTATTTATCAGCATACGTTTTAGGTATTCATCGAATTAGATTCGAGTTGAATATATTTAAGCTGATCAGGATTGTACTTCCCTCTCACTCTTTTCGCCCATTTAAAAAAATAATCTATTTAGCTTAAGGATTTTCCTTTCTATAATATTATTTTAGCTACTCGTTTTGACTCTATCAATTTTCGTAATCGATATTTATCGTTTGTTTATATCAGAGTTGGTAGAGTTGATAATTATAAATATATGTAATTTATGGAACATTTAATCGAATTTAAAATTGCAATACTTTTCACGGAAGCTTCTTTTGGGAACTTGATTTTTCGTCAACTCCAATTCAAGTCAGCACTAAGCAACATTTCCTTAAAATTCAAGTAAGTTCTGCTGCGTTAGTTGATAAAACATGTTCATTGTATAAAATTTATTATTTTCATTTGTTATCAAGTACAAAGTTTTTCTTTGTGCGTCTAAGCCAAGAATTCGCGCAGCAATTTTTGCAACCCTTTTCATTTTGTATATTTTTTCGCTGGCAATTGATGCGCTGCCAGAAACCGGTTAATAAACTTGTATGTGGGTCAAGTTTTGTCTTGATAACACACGCACACGCACACAGCAACAATAAAAGCAACAGGCGTGTCAAATGCAACAACAACAACAACAATGAAAAAAGAAAAAAACAAAAACAAACAACATTCAATGGGGCAACATCAAATTCAGTTGGGTTCTCAGTG